AAGTCACGCTGTCAGATCAGATGTAAAGGGAATTTAATAAAAAAACAAACTGTTTTGGAGTTGATTCAAAATTTCAAACATTCTTACACGCACATAGAACTAATGATATGCTGACTAATATCATTAAGAGGGCTGTACAGTCACATTCTTAACATAAAACTGTTGACAGTAAACGCTCCTAAAAGTAACGCCGTGACTTTCCACTATGATTTACATCAAGACTCGCAAGTCCTAAACACTACAAGCGATAAAAAATGTGATTTTTTTAAAAGTCGGTCTTTAAATAGATAAAATCTAGATAAAAACAAACGTTTACTAGCCAGTAACACTTTAACAGTCATTAGACTTAATCAAACCCAATGATACATTATTTCTAGAGCATCCTGGCAACAGAGCATTTCATCTGTAGTCGAACAGAATTATACTGCTTGGGGATGAGATTTTTCAGTTCTATCTTAATTTAACTTAGAAGCATCCACATTTTTTGGAACTGTACACATCTATAGCTATATTAGTGGTTTTACAAACTTCGCATTTCGTTGGCACATGATTTCATGGAAAAACATAATCTGTATTAATTTCCATCTGTTTATCGTTTCATGGAAATTTTAATTCGTAGAAAACCACGAATTCATCGAAAATAAAAAAAAACATACGAAGATTGATGATTTCACAAAATGATTTATGGACGGCGAATATCATGTTTGTTGCTTGAAATATCAATATCGTTTTTATGTTCCTTTTTGATACCTGATATTTGGAATATAGGAAACGTAACAAGAATTCTCCGTAATGAAGTTGGTCATTGTTTGACATGTTCACGTAACATACACGTGTTCGCCTGCCTATCACATGAATCAGGAAGTTTAAGTTAGATAAAGGTACAAATGATGTAATAGACACTATTGATTTTGTGTCCAGTAGTATCGACTGCACTGTGAAATATGGCCTAACTGTTACCTATCGATAGCCATGAGACAGAGTGAGAAACGTTGCCCTAAAACATTTTTTTAAATTTTTGCTCTGAAATCGATTTTCAACGTGGTGACGAAGGAATTTGAGCAGAATATCAAACTATTGAACTGCAAACCCTGATAAGCCTTTTGCGATTTAAAGAAATAGTCTGCACGTGATAATATCAGTTTCACTCACAGCAATAAAGATTTTTTGTCAAGATTTTTCATAATATAACGGCAAAGTCATTATGTGATAATTCTTATATTTTTATTAAAGAAAATTTTCTCATTCACAGTAGTATATATATCCTGACTTGACGGAAATTATTCTTTCCCTTTTAAAAAAATACGGATTGTAAGTTAATAAAAACAGGGATATGACAGATATTTTTTAAACGTGTCCCCAAATTTAGTATCCTCAAGCTGAGATCCCACAACATTTAACTTTGATTACTTTTATCAGGCAATCGCTGGGAATCACAATGCATTGAACGAAACGACCACTTGGAACACAACAAACAACAGGTAGTTCTGATGATTTATACAAAACATCTAAATACCCTAACACGCTTAACAAGGCCAAGCAGTGTATATATGTTTGCCCTGGAACAGTAAATTATTCTCTTTATACACGGAGTCGTCAGCAGAGCAGTGCTCCGAAATAGTCCTAAGTCTTTGGTCTATCGTTCATCAGGATTTTCTTAAAAAAAATAAAACTAGATTTGTAGGAGCAAAACGACCCCCATCGGCAGCCTTGTAGAAGTTTGTAAGTGGTTTTGAAATTGTGAAAAAGTTAACACATGACTCAGGAAATATTTGTTTTCTAATTTGATTGACAAGGTTCTCTGAGTTGTGATCGTGCAGGTTTTGTGAAATTCTTTAATTAAAGTTAATAAAAATTATAACCGTAACATACTGGAAAATAAAAATGGGAAATGACAAAAATATCTATGATAAAGTGACCACAACCACATGAGAACACTCATATACGTGTGACCATTGTAGAGTACTGACCGGAAATGACAGTATGACGAGAATTTAGGCGAATTATATTGCAACATGCCCCTATCATGAAATAGCAACGGCGGGAAAGGGGGAGATAAATTAACATAAATAGCATTACATTCTTTGTAATTATACATATATTTAAAATAAATTGAAAATAAAGGGGGAAATCGACGCAACGATAGAATAGCGAGAACAAGAAAGGTTCGGGAAATATTGCAATAATACAGGTAATTTCAGAAGGGGGTATGTTTATTCTGATTAATCAACCTACCATATATGGTCAATTCAAATAAGTTAATGTCTTGTTCTCAAATGAGATCTATGTTAACAATATTTAAACCGCAAAACCTATTTGCGAATTTTATTTCGGACACATTATACCACACAATATTAGCAGTAGAGTTTGTGTTTTAAAAAATTGTCAAAACATAATTAATATGTTTCTTTCTTAATATTGTTATTGCAAAATGTACCGATATATTTACTGTACAATATTTGATCTATACAGAAATATCTCCTTATGAATTTGTTTTAAGTCGGGTCAAATATATTTTTCTGGTTCTCTTCTGAATTCCATACGCCGGTCTCCAATCAGAAATATTACAATATTAGCAGCATGGAATAGATGCATGTGGTATTTGAATAATCTGTTAAGTTCTGTCGTATCTTATACTAGATTTGTGAAGGAAGGCAATAAGGTCTTGTATGGCAATCCAAATTCCTATATCATCTTAAGTTCTCACAACCTCTGAAATCCAGAGTCCCACTGTCTCTATGGCGAAACTATCAACATTGGAACGCATGTTATCAATGGCCTGTTATACAACATAGGTAGGTAGCATACATCGATACAGAGCACCAATATAAAATGTCTAAGTATTTTTCGTGGCCAAATCTTGTATCATTTTATGGGCGAGCATATATTTCCAAGTAAGGTCGTAGCTACAGGCAATAAGAAGCTGATTTCAATGACAATTATTTTGTGTGGTCACCCGACATATTTAAAGAACCGCAGGACTAATAATGGACAGGATACAGATTATATCATGAAACTTTGATCAAGACAGAAAAAAACAGAATATACAAAACATATAGAATGCTTCTCCAGTTCAACTATGAGTGTGAGACAATATGTTACGGAAAAGTTAATATACTGTTCACGTAGATGGCACTCATGAATTATATATAAATACAAAAACGGCGTGTTGTTGCAAAATGTTGAAAGCTAACATTGTACCACGGAAGAAACGTTTTTTTAATTTCTCATTTAACCACCAAAAAATGCTTCTGTGTGAACTTCTGGGATCGGCGTCGACGGCGGCGTTCGTGTCGGGGCGTTCGCGTTAATTTCTAGAACTATTGAGCGGCTACTGTTTTTTTTTTTTTTTTTTCTTTTTCATAACTGCCGAGAGGAACGTAACCTTATATTTCGTCGCGACGTCGGCGTCGGCGTCTGCGCGTTTAGGTGCCCATATTAGTCTATCGTGTTACGTTTAGAATACAGTAAAAATCAATATAAGTATCTAATTTAACGATTTTATTAAAAACATGAAAAGAGTGAGAGAAAAAAAAAACAAACAATTGATAAATAGATAAAATCAAAAACAAAAACTTTCGAAAATGACATTTACCTGGAAACTTCCCTGTATTTATTCTCAAATTTTAAGAAAAAAAAAGCGCAAACGTGTTTGTATCACTTGCATATATGTAGTGTTTATAGTTTAAAGGTTTCATATGTTTTTTATCGGACTCATTAAGCGTGTATTGATCATCGCAATATTGGGACCAACTATTGATTTTAAACTCAGTTTTACAGATTTCAAATCTCTTAAATGACGACTTTTGATATCAAAGTGGCAGGATATTTAGAGCATTTACATAAAAAAATAAACCACATTTTATCTCGCATCTGGAACTGTCATTGTCCAAATTGAGCAAGACAAACGTTGCTCGCCAACTTTTGAAAAGAATGATATAGGCAAGACTTGTGGTATTCCTGTAAATGTGCTATACGTGTATTTACAACTAAATATATTTATTTAACTATGCGATATTTTGATTTGAAAAACCCGCCACTTGCGTCTTTCGCAACACCTGACAAAATGAAGTTCAAAGTCACTTGCAATGTGTTGAAGGCAGCATATCATTTTTTGTAACAATTGAGCTGATTCACATCAAAAGCAAGTTTTGGGGTTAAAATATCTTCGTGTGTTTTTTCCTGCTAAAAGAAGTCAGTGACACTGACAGAACGGTTTTTACAGCTGTTTACATTGCAAGTTGACATGTACATATATTGAAGCTCGCAAACACCGTAATGTTATCTAAATGTACTTATGTATATGATTATCCACAGCGGGAAGACGGGCCAGATAGGAATAAGTATAAGTATACATCAATGGAGTATGATTGTACATGTACATTTTTACCTTGGTTAGAACTGGACGTGCTCGTTATATATCATGGTAATATATCAAATGATAAAAATAGCTGTTTTTGTACGTATTCATTTGCATATTGATTCCGTGATCGCACTCCATGGTATAGAAATCTCCGCAACTTAGCTCTTTCTTAATGCTTTAGACAATAAAGAAAGACGGTTTCGTGTCAATTAACATACATTATAGTGTAAAGTCATACAATTTTGGAGCTCAAATTCCATGGTTAGATAAAAACATACATTTCTTCTGGTATTTGATTTTTTTAATCACACGCAGAAAATCTACTTGTGGGAAGAGTATTTTAACATCTGTATTAAAAACTATTTACCATTTAACCGACAAAAGAATTCGCAAAAAAAATATCCATAGATATAGTGAAAATGCCACACAAAAATGAACGGTTTCACTTTAAATTAAATAATAACAATAACTAGTGGCTAACTGAGGGAAAGTCATCGTTTGATAAGAAAAATTTAACTAGAGTAGTATTGAGGACGAAAGGAAGCGGTGTATTTAAAGTTATACATGTTGTGTTAGATCACGATATAATTCGCGGAGAATGGAAAAAAAAGATGATTCTGAAATGAATGGTACTCACATCATAAATCCCAGACACTCTGACTTCTGGTTGAACAGGAAATCGCAAACTTCCGGTTAAACTGAAATCTTGACGAAAACCGACTCCTCGTCGTTTCGGTCGTGGCGAACTTTCTGCCAAGGGATATTTATCGTCATTTGTCCAGTTTGTCGATGACTCCATCGTTTCTTCGTCACGTGAGCCCATCATGAACTGGGACTGGACATCGGGTGCTGAAGATACGTTTATTTCCTCTTCTGGTGCTGCGTCACTGAGCTCAGTTTGATCCAACGGAGACGGCTCCGTTACAAAAGTGTCCAGGTGTTCAAAAGGTGGTGTGGGAAGAGGTGACACACGTGGTGGTCGAGCCGACGGCGGCGGTGGTGGCAAAGGAGGTTGGGAAGGTGGTTGTTCCGTCGGTGGGGGTGGTGGTTCTGGCGGTGAATGAACACGTCGGGGAATTGGTGGTTTCGACGACGATGAAGAATATTTTGGCTGCGGTTGGTCTATTTGCTGATAATCAGACACGATTGTTGTATCCTCGGGTGAATTCAGTATATCGAGATAATGCGTCCCGATATTATTGTCTGTGGTTTCCACTTTCACCGGCAATGAAGGCTTCTCAGTTGTAAATTTTATGTTCGCCTTTTTAGAATCGAACACTAGTGAAGTCTGTTTGTTCCTGCTCATGTTGGTTGTTGGCAGGCAAATGCATATTTATGGTTGCAGAGAAACACTAGTATGTGCACTGTGTCTAAAAAAAGAATCCTAAAAGATATCTTGAAAGCATGCCCAGTCTACACTTTACGCCAAGTGTATTCCTACTCGTTATGACCAATACCAAACGTGAAGGAAGTGAAATACAGCTTAGTACTACAGTTCAATTAAATCGATAAGATTCGGTAGGGATAGGAAACGTCCGCTTATCGCCGTTTTATCGTTTAAAGGTGATTGTTTGCACGGCCATAACCTGTCACGTCCCACTTTATTGACAAATACAATTGTAGTATAAAGCGTTACATTGTTAACAGGCAACAACTTCAAGTGCCTGTCACAAGTATTGCTTGTACTGTGTAACATTATATTGCGAACAAGCAACCATCCAGGACATTAACAAGATTAAATAAATTTCATATGTAACAATTTTAGAAAAACAAAATAGCGGTACATATTAATTTTGTTTGAGAATAACAACAATTGGTGTTTTCTCATCTAATCGACTGAACATTCAGATTGTAGTTAAGGTATGTAACAGACTTGAAGTCGAGACAACTGAAGAGAACTAGCACTAGTGTAAAAGATATTACAGCACAAGGTGGGCCTTGTAACATGGATTTTACACAAGTACGTATTTTGAACTATGTATGATATTGCCTGTTTTGTGTTGTCAAGAAAATGTGTTTAAAACAGACTGGCTTTGTTTCATTAACAACGATTGTGTCAAGAAGGTAGTGATTAAAAAATGACAAGTATCAAGATCAAAGCTACAATCTATGCACTCTCGGAGCAGAAAACATAATTGATTTGAAATACGTGTAATTAATATGAACGGCAAACCAATGTTTATATATCACATATTTTACATAATGGCCTCCCATTAACTCGGTGTTTATCTGGATTTTATCCACAGGGGTGTAAGATGCAGTGGGGACTACATGACAATAACATGACGTCATTTTGGCGCCATGCTGATCGACGTCTCGTCAACGCTTGAAGTCACCATGTTATATTTAGCTTGACGCTGATCATTAAGCTGAATTTTGTCTTTAAGCTTTCTCCTCTTATGTAATCATGCAGCAAGCATATATATATATATATATATTAGAAAAAACAAAACAAAAAACCAAAAAATGTGACAATGTTTTAGATAATATCTCAAGTTAACATAGAATACTTGATCATGGGTCAGATTGTATTGTTGTCTCTGTGAATGACATCTGGATACTAGATAAATAATCATGGCATCATATTAACAGACATCATTCTATCTAAATGTCATTCATATTGCATTCATAGTGTCATAACAACAATCAGACCGATGTTCAATGGTTAATTATACGGACATCATTCTATATATCTGTCGCCAATTCTGACCGATGTTTAATGGTTAAATAACAAAGGTCATTCTATATATTTGTCACCCATTCTGACCGATGTTCAATTGTTAAATAACAGACATCATTCTATATATCTGTTACCCATTCTGACCAATGTTCAACGGTTAAAGAACAAACGTCCTTCTATATATTTGTCAACCATTCTGACCGATGTTCAATGGTTAAATAACAAACGTCATTCTATATATCAGTCACCAATTCTGACTGATGTTCAATAATTAAATAACAGACATCATTCTATATATCTGTCACGGACATCATTCTATATATCTGTCACCTATTCTGACCGATGTTCATTAATAAATATATATATATCTGTCACCCATTCTGACCGATGTTCAATGGTTAAATAACAGACGTCATTCTATATATCTGTCACCCATTCTGACCGATGTTCAATAGTTAAATAACAGACATCATTCTATATATCTGTCACCCATTCTGACCGATGTTCAATGGTTAATTAACAGACGTCATTCTATGTATCTGTCACCCATTCTGACCGATGTTCAATGGTTAATTAACAGACTATATATCAGACGTCACCCCCATTCTGACCGATGTTCAATTGTTAATTAACAGACATCATTCTATATATCTGTCACCTATTCTGACCGATGTTCAATAGTTAAAGAACAAACGTCATTCTATATATCTGTCACCCATTCTGACCGATGTTCAATGGTTAATTAACAGACATCATTCTATATATCTGTCACCCATTCTGACCGATGTTCAATTGTTAAATAACAGACATCATTCTATATATCTGTCACCCATTCTGACCGATGTTCAATGGTTAAATAACAGACATCATTCTATATATCTTTCACCCATTCTGACCGATGTTCAATGGTTAATTAACAGACATCATTCTATATATCTGTCACCTATTCTGACCGATGTTCAATAGTTAAATAACAGACATCATTCTATATATCTGTCACCCATTCTGACCGATGTTCAATGGTTAAATAACAAACGTCATTCTATATATCTGTCACCCATTCTGACCGATGTTCAATGGTTAAATAACAGACATCATTCTATATATCTGTCACCCATTCTGACTGATGTTCAATGGTTAATTACCCATTCTGACCGATGTTCAATGGTTAAATTAACAGATGTCATTCTATGTATCTGTCACCCATTCTGACCGATGTTCAATGGTTAATTAACAGATGTCATTCTATATATCTTTCACCCATTCTGACCGATGTTCAATTGTTAAATAACAGATGTCATTCTATATATCTGTCACCCATTCTGACCAATGTTCAATGGTTAAATAACAGACATCATTCTATATATCTTTCACCCATTCTGACCGATGTTCAATGGTTAATTAACAGACATCATTCTATATATCTGTCACCCATTCTGACCAATGTTCAATAGTTAAAGAACAAACGTCATTCTATATATCTGTCACCCATTCTGACCGATGTTCAATAGTTAAATAACAGACATCATTCTATATATCTGTCACCCATTCTGACCGATGTTCAATGGTTAATTAACAGACATCATTCTATATATCTGTCACCCATTCTGACCGATGTTCAATAGTTAAATAACAGACATCATTCTATATATCTGTCACCAATTCTGACCGATGTTCAATGGTTAATTAACAGACATCATTCTATATATCTGTCACCCATTCTGATCGATGTTCAATGGTTAAATTATCAAACGTCATTCTATATATCAGTCACCAATTCTGACCGATGTTCAATGGTTAAATTAACAGACGTCATTCTATATATCTGTCACCCATTCTGACCGATGTTCAATGGTTAAATAACAAACGTCATTCTATATATCTGTCACCCATTCTGACCGATGTTCAATGGTTAAATAACAGACATCATTCTATATATCTGTCACCCATTCTGACCAATGTTCAATAGTTAAAGAACAAACGTCATTCTATATATTTGTCACCCATTCTGACCGATGTTCAATGGTTAAATAACAGACATCATTCTATATTTCTGTCAACCATTCTGACCGATGTTCAATGGTTAAATAACAAACGTCATTCTATATCTCTGACCCATTCTGACCGATGTTTAATGGTTAAATAACAAACGTCATTCTATATATCTGTCACCCATTCTGACCGATGTTCAATGGTTAAATAACAGACGTCATTCTATATATCTGTCACCCATTCTGACCGATGTTCAATGGTTAAATAACAAACGTCATTCTATATATCTGTCACCCATTCTGATCGATGTTCAATGGTTATAGAACAAACGTCATTCTATATATCTGTCACCTACTCTGACCGATGTTCAATAGTTGAATAACAGACATCATTCTATATATCTGTCACCAATTCTGACCGATGTTCAATGGTTATATTAGCAGACGTCATTCTATATATCTGTCACCCATTCTGACCGATGTTCAATTGTTAAATAACAGACATCATTCTATATATCTGTCACCCATTCTGACCGATGTTCAATAGTTAGATAACAGACGTCATTCTATATATCTGTCACCCATTCTGACCGATGTTCAATGGTTAATTAACAGACATCATTCTATATATCTGTCACCCATTCTGACCGATGTTCAATGGTTAAATAACAGACATCATTCTATATATCTTTCACCCATTCTGACCGATGTTCAATGGTTAAATAACAGACATCATTCTATATTTCTGTCAACCATTCTGACCATTTTTCAATGGTTAAATAACAAACGTCATTCTATATATTTGTCACCCATTCTGACCGATGTTCAATGGTTAATTAACAGACATCATTCTATATATCTGTCACCCATTCTGACCGATGTTCAATGGTTAAATAACAAACGTCATTCTATATATCTGTCACCCATTCTGACCGATGTTCAATAGTTAAATAACAGACATCATTCTATATATTTGTCACCCATTCTGACCGATGTTCAATGGTTAAATAACAAACGTCATTCTATATATCTGTCACCCATTCTGACCGATGTTCAATTGTTAAATAACAGACATCATTCTATATATCTGTCACCCATTCTGACCGATGTTCAATGGTTAATTAACAGACGTCATTCTATATATCTGTCACCCATTCTGACCGATGTTCAATGGTTAAATAACAGACACCATTCTATATATTTGTCACTCATTCTGACCGATGTTCAATGGTTAAATAACAAAGGTTATTCTATATATCTGTCACCCATTCTGATCGATGTTCAATGGTTATAGAACAAACGTCATTCTATATATCTGTCAACCATTCTGACCGATGTTCAATGGTTAAAGAACAGACGTCATTCTATATATCTGTCACCCATTCTGACCGATGTTCAATGGTTAATTAACAGACGTCATTCTATGTATCTGTCACCCATTCTGACCGATGTTCAATGGTTAAATAACAGACACCATTCTATATTTCTGTCAACCATTCTGACCGATGTTCAATGGTTAAATAACAGACATCATTCTATATATCTGTCACCAATTCTGACCGATGTTCAATGGTTAAATAACAAACGTCATTCTATATATCTGTCACCCATTCTGACCGATGTTCAATGGTTAAATAACAGACATCATTCTATATATCTGTCACCCATTCTGACCGATGTTCAATGGTTAATATAACAGTTCAATGGTTAAATAACAGTCATTCTATATATCTGTCACCCATTCTGACCGATGTTCAATGGTTAAATAACAGACATCATTCTATATATCTATATATCATTCTATATATCTGTCACCCATTCTGTTCAATGGTTAAATAACAGACATCATGTTCAATGGTTAAAATAACAGACAGTCATTCTATATATTTGTCACCCATTCTGACCGATGTTCAATGGTTAAATAACAGACATCATTCTATATTTCTGTCAACCATTCTGACCAATGTTCAAAAGTTAAAGAACAGACGTCATTCTATATATCTGTCACCCATTCTGACCGATGTTCAATGGTTAAATAACAGATATCATTCTATATTTCTGTCAACCATTCTGACCAATGTTCAAAAGTTAAAGAACAGACGTCATTCTATATATCTGTCACCTATTCTGAACGATGTTCAATGGCTAATTAATAGACATCATTCTATATATCTGTCACCCATTCTGATCGATGTTCAATGGTTAAATTATCAAACGTCATTCTATATATCAGTCACCAATTCTGACCGATGTTCAATGGTTAAATTAGACGTATTCTATATATCTGTCACCCATTCTGACCCATTCTGACCGATGTTCAATGGTTAAATATCAAACGCCATTCTATATATCTGTCACCCATTCTGACCGATGTTCAATGGTTAAATAACAGACACCATTCTATATATCTGTCACCCATTCTGACCGATGTTCAATGGTTAAAGAACAGACGTCATTCTATATATCTGTCACCTATTCTGACCGATGTTCAATTGTTAAATAACAAACGTCATTCTATATATCTGTCACCCATTCTGACCGATGTTCAATGGTTAATTAACAGACGTCATTCTATGTATCTGTCACTCATTCTGACCGATGTTCAATAGTTAAATAACAGACATCATTCTATATATCTGTCACCCATTCTGATCGATGTTCAATGGTTATAGAACAAACGTCATTCTTTATATCTGTCACCATGTTCAATGGTTAAATAATCGTAATAGCTATTCAGAGAGTATATGATATCATATCTGTTAATCTTTATAACCTGCAATTTTTGGAAATCCAATATCGTGACATTTTTTTTTTATTTGTCCACACCAGTTGCTTCATTTATCAAGTTTTTTCAATTCAGAAATATATCGTGCTGATATCATGTGTGTGTCAAGGAACACATTAAAAAAGACATATGATAAGTTTTTGGAAATCCAATATCGTGACATTTTTTTTTTATTTGTCCACACCAGTTGCTTCATTTATCAAGTTTTTTTTAAGAAACAAGGAAGGAACACATTAAAAAAGACATATGATAAGTTTGTGTTCCAAAGTCCCAAGGTCAAAGTCAGACATGTTAATTAATGCAGTGAAATAGCTCGATTGCCTTCTCTGGCGTTTTACCAAACTTTCACGCAAAAGGTAAAATATTGTGTAAATTCTTCTAATCAGTTAGTTTTTAAGGATAATGCTACTTTTGGGAGTGGTGCATTCTTGTAATAATATATTATATGTTAATGCTACGAAGTGCTAAATCTAGCTATTTATTAACACATCATGATACAGGGATATTGTATGTTAGTGCTACGAAGTGCTAAATCTAGCTATTTATTAACACATCGTGATACAGGGGTGTTGTATGTTAGTGCTACGGAGTGCTAAATCTAAGTATTTATTAACACATCATGATACAGGGATATTGTATGTTAATGATACGGAGTGGTAAATCTAACTATTTATTAACACATCATGATACAGGGATATTGTATGTTAGTGCCGAGTGCTAAATCTAGCTATTTATTAACACATTATGATACAGGGATATTGTATGTTAATGATACGAAGTGCTAAATCTAGCTATTTATTAACACATTATGATACAGGGATATTGTATATCAATGCTACGGAGTGCTAAATCTAGCTATTTATTAACACATCACGATACAGGGATATTGTATGTTAGGGCTACGGAGTGCTAAATATATTTATTAACACATAATGATACCTGGATATTGTATGTTAATGCTATGGAGTGGTAAATCTAACTATTTATTAACACATCACGATACAGGGATATTGTATGTTAATGCTACGGAGTGGTAAATCTAACTATTTATTAACACATCATGATACCGGGATATTGTATGTTCTAATATAGCTGAAGTACATGTATCGGACATTAATTTTAACTACGTTTTAATTAAATGAAACCAAAACTCCTAAACCTATGACTTATTGCTGATATATATTTTGATACTTCAACACTGAAATTTCACAACAACGATTCAAATAACGCGCAATAAAACATACGCGTTTATCTCCCTTGTAGGAAGTATTGTGCTTAGAGACGATTTCAGTGTTCATTTCCGGTTGCTCCACGTTGACTGCAAAATTTTGACAGCGGTTACACTTTTACTGTTTAAGATTGAATTAAGGTCCGATTTCGTTAGTGTTAAGGTACCACATAAGTTTTAAATATGTCTACGATGGAAGAGCTGCAGAAAAGGGTACGTGAGCTCGAGGAAGAACTAATGTTGGAAAGAAATCGCCAAAAGTCAGCTGTTCGATCCAAAATAGATCAGATGAGTTCAGAAGTTGTTGATTCTAATCCTTACAGGTAATATTCAAGTATATATTGATATGTTGTGTAGGAATATTTTAACAACGTTCATGCGAACGTGCAGTTTTGCAGTTAAGCCTTTCAGGGTATTTGTATTATATTGGTGCCATGTTGAAACATATGGCAGCTGTGAAGTTCAATATGGATATGCATCTATGTATACTGACACGGGCAAACGATACAAGACATATCATATGATACATATTTGAATCAAATCAAACTATTAGTGTACGTGGGATATTGTTACAGTTTTGTAATTGGTTATTTCGACTTTAAGTTGTGATATTTTCCGAGGAGCTAATTATATAGCTCAGCACCACTATGTCTGAAGTGACGAACTTGTATTTAAAACTGACAAAATCTTTCGCTGATCAGTCGGAAGGCATCTCTCCAACAACTACTTAAAATTTATGTAGAAGTAACACAAAGTCTTTGACACCAAAGTCTACAACGATCACGATCTTGCCAAGGCTCACGAAAATAAGAACTTAACATATGTTTCATGAATTCTTATATAAAATGAAAATTGTAAAAATATGCTGTGTATATAACTAGCTCGAAAATGTTGACTAAATATTATATATGTGTACTTCATGTTTCAGTCGGCTGATGGCCCTTAAGAGGATGGGGATCGTAGATAATTATGAGGTAACAACATTTAGTTTTTTAATCCATATATTTGTCTGTAAGATTCTATCTTTCATTTGATCTTCTGACTTGGTCAATGTTCACAGTACTGTACGGTAAAATCTTTTTAAAGTTGATTGAATTCTGCATCCAGCTTACAATTGTTCATTGCACCATAGCTTACTGGTTTTAATTAGTGTTAATTTCCTGAGTGGTAGAGTGTTCAAGTTCACAAGTATAGTTACTAGTTTGCACTATGTGTAGGCAGGACATTTTTTGATACTTTTTCAGCCTGTTTCCACAAGTTTATAACTTACAGAAAGTTTAAAAAGATACCAATTTTATTTTGGTACGACCTTATGAAAGTGATTTTGATGACAAATTGTAATAATTATTCTGATTCTTAAAAAGTGAAGGCTGTGAATTACTGCAACATTACTTCTGTTTGGCTTTCTTGTCCAATTTGTGTTTTTTTTACACATTTATAAAAAGTCTGTTGGGTGGAGATGGATGAAAAAATTGTTGAAGTGAAATTGTGACATATAAATACTTCAGAACTGGTCATGGATGGGTAAAATGGTGAATGTTTGAGAAAGGAATCAAAATACAGTCAAACCTCATTATCATGATTGTAAAGTATCACTGGGACTGACAGAATACTTCAAATTCTACAGGGTATTCAAGTTAAAAGAGTTTGAGATCATGTGGTATGATTGTTTTTTGACTGATTTATTTACTTTTAAAACTTCAGAACATTTTTTTCTCCGAAAAGCAAGTAAATGACATAACATTCTCTATATATAGCATGTTAAATTTCCCAAATTTAATTTTACAATTTAGAAAATTTGTGTCCTTTTTCCTGCCTCTATTAGGTAGATTAAGCACTGTATGTCATTCACTGCTAATTTTTCTTGTCACAGAAAATCAGAGAATACACTGTAGCAGTTGTTGGTGTTGGTGGAGTGGGAAGTGTAACTGCTGAGATGTTAACCAGATGTGGAATTGGAAAGGTACATCAAGGGCATATGTCAGCAATGAAGATGATGTTGGTTTGGAAAAGTTATATTTGTTTTTTATAACATAACATTTCAATTATAAATAAGGTTATATCTGCAAATGTTATACAGACTTCATTGAGGCTTGCCAGAGAGTAAATTATAATCAGTAGGTCCAACCATATTTCATATAAGACAGCCAAACCTAGTCTCACATAACAAAGTTAACAGCCCAGTACTTTAGTTGCCAGTTAAATAAAAAATACCATACTGACACCAGAATGAAAGTGTTTAAAAATATCATACATTTTTCAGTTGTTGCTGTTTGACTATGATAAAGTTGAGCTCGCCAACATGAACCGCCTGTTTTACCAGCCACATCAGTCTGGAATGAGTAAAGTAGAGGCTGCAGAAAAAACTCTGAAGTGAGTGTTTCAGTGACTCTTTATTCAATATAAGTACTATATGGTTTTAAATGGTATAAATGTATACATTTGTAACAGAGGTCATTTTTCATCTCAATGCCTGTGCTAGGAATCGAACCCGGGACCCCTGGCTTACTAGTCTTGACGCTCAACCAATCGAGCTAAAGAGAAGTTCTCTCTAGCCGAGTGGTATATTGCGGCTAGCATTTTACCAGGGTTACATACTCCCCCTCCAGGAAATAACTCGTCCTCAAGTTTCCAGGGGTAACAGCGATGCCGGTGGGGCATGACTAAGTATTATTCCCGGGTCCCTACATGGGCGCCAATGTAACAGAGATCATTTTTCATCTCAATGCCTCTGCTAGGGATCGAACCCGGGACCCCTGACTTACTAGTCTGACGCTCAACCAATCGTGTTAAAGAGAAGTTCTCTCTAGCCGAGTGGTATATTGCAGATAGTATTTTACCAGGGTTACACATTGATATGCATAACACAGCAAGTGATTCAGCAAGCCTAAGGATATTGATCACATAACTACCTTGTTATCAATGCTGTAGCACTCATTACATTTATTGCCATATTACCATATGTGTGATAAAGCCCTAGCAAATAGAACAGAACCAGTAGAAGATTTGAGTATGATATTTTGATGACTTCACGTTCACCTTCATCAGACTATTCACTGACTAATCTTGACACTGTATGATTTAAAATGATACAGGTGTTTCCAAATAAATGTTTTAAATGAATATTTTACTCTGTTAAAAACATTAATATGCTGTATTTGAGATGGTTTGTTGTACATATACTGTACTTTATGACTGTTCCATCTGTCCCACTGAAGGACTCCATGTTTTGATTAGAGATATTCCAGTAAACATCAATCCCACCCTAGGACTCTCGGTTTTGTTAAAGGCTATTTCAGTAAACATCAATCCCACCCCAGGACTCTAGGTTTTGTTTAGGGCTATTTCAGTAAAACATCTGTCCTACCTTAGGACTCCAGGTTTTGTTGAGGGATATTCCAGTAAAACATCTAACCTACCTTAGGACTCCAGGTTTTGTTGAGGGTTATTCCAGTAAAACATCTAACCTACCTTAGGACTCCAGGTTTTGTTGAGGGTTATTCCAGTAAAACATCTAACCTACCTTAGGACTCCAGGTTTTGTTGAGGCTATTCCAGTAAACATCAATCCCACCCCAGGACTCTAGGTTTTGATTAGGGATACCATCCACATCATTATATTGATAACTTGCATGGAAATACAACTGTAATAGGCAGGAAACTGAAATATTGATAGAAGTGTCAATTTAAATGGGAGATTTGAGGCATTATGTACATTATTGAAATAGCTCTCAAAGATTTATGATGAAATATATCAGCTCTGCTAAAAAAAAAAAAAGAAATACATTGTGATTACAGGATGAGATCATTTGCATGCCATATCTACTCTTTCATCATATATTTCTGTAAAACGATATAACTTTGTTGGGCTCAAATTTTGTGGTTTTATGAAAAAAAAGGCATTTTGTTGGCAATTGAATTTCGTGGATAAATCTCGCTATTGAATCAACTAATGCTTAAATTTGTTGTCAGTTTTTATCAATTTATCATTTCATAGAGATATCAATTTATCATTTCATAGAGATATCAATTGATGGATTTAGACTACCCACAAATTCAACAAAAATAACATCACCTCGAGAATCAATGAGCTGACAGTATCTGTTATACTTTTTTACAGGGAAATCAATCCAGATGTTGAGTTTGAAGTGTACAATTACAACATAACCACCATGGAAAATTTTGACCACTTCATGGACAGAATCCGGTATGTAACACACAAAACCAGTGGGATATCTTTGTGATCAGTAATAGAATTGATATAATAGGAGTTATAAATTTTTCTTCTGTATTTTGTGTACTTGTTTATTTGAGAAACAGGTGTGTTCTCTCACCAGCTGGACCATTTTAAAAGCCATGAAAATAAAATTGCATTGTGTGGGCAAACTGGAGATGATCCCAAATACCCTAGTGTTTGATAATATGTTAGTTAGAATTTCATGGTTACAATTTGTCAAAATTTCATGTTTACAATCCGTCAAATTTTCATGTTTACGATTAGTCAAAATTTCATAAAATCTCCAGTTTGAGGACTGTTTTAGATTCCTGTGACATGTTAACAGAGTATGTTTTGTTTGTAGGAATGGCGGTATAAAAGAGAATTCTCCAGTAGATCTTGTACTCAGTTGTGTGGACAACTTCGAGGCTCGCATGGCCATCAATACTGTACGTCTACCATTGTTTGTTCAGCGTCATACTAGCTTTATCTTAGAAAAAAACATCAAACGATCAATACCACAACAAATTAATATTTAGATGGCTATTTTTTAAGATCAACTGCCTGTTGCAAATCTAGGTGAGAACATTGTTATTATAGATGTAAAATTGCTATGGATACTTGGAAAGTGAAATAAAGAGGACTAAAGGAGATTTAAAAACATTTAATGAATATATGTATTACTTATTGAGATTTCAATAAAACCAGACAGTCGACTGATTCCTCTGTTTTCCTAAATTTTGGCTCAAAAAACTATATTTTGAAAGACCTTCTATATTTCCTATATTTTCCTATTTTTTTAAAAATATTCCTTTATTTTTCAGGAAATTTGTCGCCGATAAATGTAGAAATTGCAAATATTTCTTTGACACTGTTTTTGGCTTCTTTATTTTACAAGTTAGAGAATTCTTAAGTCATTAACAGCATCACTAGTCACCAGAAAATGATTCAGTGCATCTCTTTCTCACCTGTATGGGCACCTTACAAGGCAGTACAACAGGATATTGGCCTTTTAGGTGCCCATTCAGATGATGATGGTGATGAGCTATGCAGCAGCTCTCTGCCTGGATTGTGATGCTGTTGAAGAGAATGGTTACTTTAAGGTAGTTTTTAATCTTTGACTTGGTTGACAGCCTGTAAAACGTATACAAAGATGAAATGATAAAGATCACAAAGGCACACCCCAAGTCTGCACTGTATACTATTCAACATATTTTTCAGTGGCTTGAAAATTTTGTGAAAAAAAAAAAAAAAAAAAGATAAATAAAAATAATCTCCCATATCTCCCATAGAAATCAAATGTTAAAGAGATTGCCATTATGCTACTCAAATTAAAGTAGCTTGGCTTTTTTTCATTTATTGGTTTAACCAGATGGGCCAGGGATATTTATGAAAAAAAGAAACTGGCCTACTGATATGATTTTTGTTGCTGATGAACCTTGACAAAGTCTTTTGTGATCTGTGTTCATAATTGCATGTTCATCATGATTTCTTTTACTTCTAAAGAGCTGAATGATGACTTTGTCTGCATAAATAAACAGTTTGGTTTGTGTTGCTAAACATCCTTAGACTAGTAACAGTTCAGGTTATTGAAGGACGGCTTACTGGTATATGTGATATGATTGCATGTGTTGATATATATGTGTGTAAGACTCCGTGTGATAGTGCAGAACTAATGTCAATTATTTAGTGTAACCACACAGAAAACAATACTGAAGGCCAGCAGCAGGGCATCTCGACTGGTTGCAATGCACTGACAAGGGTTAGCCAGTTGTTACTCTACTATATATGTTAAGCAGGAAGTAGTAACTACTATTTTTGAAGACTCTGGTGTGTCTCGGTCAGGGGACATAACCCAAAGCTTTCCTCACAAGTAAAGGTCAAAAAGGAGGCAGTGCCAAGGGAAACATAAGGAAACAGAAACTTTATGAGAAGAGAAAGTGTCAAGATCCCAAGTTTAGTCACCTTTTATGATCATGTAGTGGGGACAGCAGGTACAAATATATGACCCTGCAGGGCAGATAAATAAACCAGCACCTGGTCTGGATTAGTTACTTCAGTCTCACCAATCACAGATACCCTGATATTAATCTAATTTTTTGTGCTGTTCTTTCTCTTTTTATTTCCACCTTCAGTAATCTAAATATCATGTCACTTATTTAATTACTTCATAACATGTACTGTTCTTTAAGGCTTGTAATGAGATCGGACAGCCATGGATCGAGTCTGGAGTCAGTGAGAATGCAGTGTCCGGACACATACAGTTCATCAAACCTGGGGAAACATCATGCTTTGCTGTAGGTGCTTTTGTGTTCCCTGCCAGAAAATGGCTGAATTTTTCTAGCTTTAATCGTACTCTCAAGAACATATTTCATTAATATTTGTACTGAAAAAAAATCTGTAATGGAAAAATATGGTGATCTGAAAGTGAATTGGATGGAATGAAAAGATTTCTCCCTGTTCCTAAATTTCAAATATACATTATGTATGCTGATAATGCAATTTTCTTGTTAATGAATCTAGAAAAAAAAACATATTTTTTTACTTTTTCCTTATGTTATTTATTGCTGTTGTTTTGTAAATATACAATAGTGTGCCCCTCCCTTGGTTGTGGCTACAAAGACAGATGAACGAACACTGAAGAGAGAAGGCGTGTGTGCCGCCAGTCTCCCTACTACTATGGCAGTTGTGGCAGGATTCTTAGTCCAAAACACACTGAAGTAAGGAATTACATAATATACAGGCGATACATCTACCATTTTATTTGACTTCAAAGGAAATATACTGTAACCAGGACACAAATAGCCATTCCTACATATACCATTCTTTTATTACCGATGTTCTTAAATGTAGCAGTCTTTTGTTACATTATTAAGTATAGATCAAACAGTGATTGTGTTTTTAACATGAACAGTACTGTAATTCCAGGTGTTTTTAACATGAACAGTGCTAAAATTACAGGTGTTTTTAACTTGAACAGTAATGTAATTACAGGTGTTTTTACATGAACAGTGCTGTAATTTCAGGTGTTTTTAACATGAACAGTGCTGTAATTATAGGTGTTTTTAACATGAACAGTTCTGTAATTACAGGTGTTTTTAACATGAACAGTGCTGTAATTACAGGTGTTTTTAACATGAACAGTGCTGTACTTACAGGTGTTTTTAACATGAACAGTGCTGTAATTACAGGTGTTTTTAACATGAACAGTGCTGTAATTACAGGTGTTTTTAACATGAACAGTGCTGTACTTACAGGTGTTTTTAACATGAACAGTGCTGTAATTACAGGTGTTTTTAACATGAACAGTAATGTAATTACAGGTGTTTTTAACATGAACAGTGCTGTAATTACAGGTGTTTTTAACATGAACAGTACTGTAATTCCAGCTGTTTTTAATATGAACAGTGCTGTAATTACAGGTGTTTTTAACATGAACAGTGCTGTACTTACAGGTGTTTTTAACATGAACAGTGCTGTAATTACAGGTGTTTTTAACATGAACAGTGCTGTACTTACAGGTGTTTTTAACATGAACAGTGCTGTAATTACAGGTGTTTTTAACATGAAAAGTGCTGTAATTACAGGTGTTTTTAACATGAACAGTAATGTAATTTCAGGTGTTTTTAACATGAACAGTGCTGTGATTTCAGGTGTATTTAACATGAACAGTGCTGTAATTACAGGTGTTTTTAACATGAATAGTACTGTAATTACAGGTATTTTTAACCAATATAATACAGTTATTACAGGTACTTTTAATATGTGCCACACTCTCGTTAAAGGAATCTTTAACTGTACAATACAATATCTGGATTAATTGCAGGTGTTTACTTAAATTTGGTGAGGTTTCCTACTACCTTGGTTACAATGCTCTTCAGGATTTCTTCCCAAATTATGCCATGAAGCCAAACCCTCAGTGTGACGACCGCTTTTGCTGCCAACAACAAATCAAGTTCAAGGTTAAATAAGTTACTTCAAGCATTTTGTTTTACTACTGGAAACTGATGTAATTCTGTATAGGTAAACACAGAAAATTTACAAAAGTGAATTTTTTTTATTTTGAAAATTAGAAAAAAAAAAACAAATTAAATTTAGTACAGAAAGTTAACATTGGTCATGAATAAGCTGATTTACTGTAATAGTAAAAGTTTCATTAAGTATACATATATAAGTATATATTGTGTTACTGATGTCTGATCCTTCACCATCTGTGGCATCTCTCCACATCTCATTCAGAATTAGTGTCAGATATTGAACCTCTCAAAAGGTTTGATTCATGCTTGCCCCATAATATCATAGCATCAAATGATACCCCTTAAAGGTCATAGGTCAATGTCTACTTCAAACAATTTATAATCCATGTCAAACAAAAATTTCTAGTTTTTTATATAAAAATGGAAATAATGTTAACTTTATGGAGCTGTTGAGGGACAAGACATTGTTTCAATTCTATATCTTGTTGTTGTAGATCTTTTTACACTTAATATTTATGTAATGCTCGTCTGTTTGATATACCTGACAGGAAAGAGAAGCATTAAAGCCAAAGACAGAAGTTGTAGAAGAGAAAGAGGAGGAGATTGTACATGAAGAAAACCCATTCCGTAAGTACAGCTACGTTTAATACCCCTGTCTTCTAATATCAAAATGAACATAACATTCTCTATAGCAAAACATAACAGGGAAGTGAAAGATGTGGTAGCATTTAAAATAATAAAGATACAATGTATTCCTCGGCTAGGGGATAAGAGAGTACAGATCTTGAGTTAAAGGCCTAGACAGGGTATTGAAATTTGTCTCTGTTTGTTGGTTTTATACAATATTCAAACCTTGAAATCAACTTACAAAGTATACAACATTATATCTAATGACATATGTTGATATCTGATATCTCATATTAGGTAATTACAAATGTACTTAGTGGTGATATTACTTATTCCTATCTTATATGATATTTATTTTGTAATTTGAATATGAAATATTTTATAAATTGATTTCTAACAAGTTTTAAAAAGAGGATATGCATGAATGGTTCTTAGAAATATCAACAGCTCATTTATTGTAATCTACTGCCTCTTTAGAAATTGAAGTTGTGTCAGAAACGACAGAGGAAGAATCACAAGCTGCAGAAGGTGCAACTCCTGAACTAACTGAGGGCCTCCGACTAGCTTATACTACACCAGATCAAAATACTACACAGGTAACTTATATATCATATATAGGTAAACTGGGTCATCTCACACAGGTAAACTGGGTCACCTCACACAGATAAACAAGGGACTCTAAATACTACATAGGTAACTAATATATCATATATAGGTAAACTGGGTCATCTCACACAGGTAAACTGGGTCACCTCACATAGATAAACAAGGGACTCTAAATACTACATAGGTAATTTATATATCATATATAGGTAAACTGGGTCATCTCACCCAGGTAAACTGGGTCACCGCACACAGATAAACAAGGGACTCTAAATACTACATAGGTAACTTATATATCATATAGGTAAACTGGGTCATCTCACACAGGTAAACTGGGTCACCTCACACAGATAAACAAGGGCCTCCGACTAGCTTATACTACACCAGATCAAAATACTACACAGGTAACTTATATATCATATATAGGTAAACTGGGTCATCTCACACAGGTAAACTGGGTCACCTCACACAGATAAACATGGGACTCTAAATACTACATAGGTAACTTATATATCATATATAGGTAAACTGGGTCACCTCACACAGGTAAACTGGGTCACCTCACACAGGTAAACTGTGTTACCTTACACAGGTAAACTGGGTCACCTTACACAGGTAAACTGGGTCACCTCACACAGGTAAACTGTGTCACCTTACACAGGTAAACTGGGTCACCTCACACAGGTAAACTGGGTCACCTCACTCAGGTAAACTGGATCACCTCACACAGGTAAACAAGGGACTCTGACTAACCTAGACCACACCAAATCAAAATACTATGCAGGTAACTTATATATCATATATAGGTATGTGGGTCACACAGGTAAACTGGGTCACCTCACACAGATAAACTGGGTCACCTCACACCGGTAAACTGGGTCACCTCACACAGCTAAACTGGGTCACCTAACACAGGTAAACAAGGGACTCTGACTTGCCTATAAAACACCAGATCAAAATACTACACAGGTAACTTATATATATAGGTAAACTGGGTCACCTCACACAGGTAAACTGGGTCACCTCACACAGGTAAACAAGGGACTCTAAATATTTCATAGGTAACTTATATATATAATATACAGGTAAACTGGGTCACCTCACACAGGTAAACTGGGTCACCCCACACAGATAAACAAGGGACTCTAAATACTACATAGGTAACTTATATATCACATATAGGTAAACTGGGTCACCTCTCACAGGTAAACTGGGTCACCTCACACAGATAAACTGGGTCACCTCACACAGGTAAACAAGGGACTCTAAATACTTCATAGGTAACTTATATATATATATATATATAATATACAGGTAAACTGGGTTACCTCACACAGGTAAACTGGGTCACCTCATACAGATAAACAAGGGACTCTAAATACTACATAGGTAACTTATATATCATATATAGGTAAACTGAGTCATACCAAACAGGTAAACAATGGATTCTGAATAGTCTATTCTATACCAGATCAAAATACTACACAGATGACTTATATGTAATATATATTATATTGTTGCTGAGAGTTCAGATAAGCAATAGCTCAAGGAAGATGTATTTGTCATTTTATTTTGTTAGTGTGTTGATAATGTCCTGGTGTTTTACAGGATGATGCTGATTCCATAGAAAACACAGAGAAGAGTATCGAGGAACTAATGAAAGAGATGAAAGGCTTATGATACAATGTGTAGGATCTGGAACAACATGTGAATACCAAATCTGATATTTAGGTATTTCAAGACCACCGAAACTGTGTTCTTACCAGAACATGCCCAGCCGCCATGATTCACTTACATCTGTGGGTATTGTGCTTCCCAGCTTTTACATACAACATGTATGTGTTGTAATGATTAATAGCGTTTAATTTAAGCTGCAATTTCTTGTTGCTTGTCAATTGTGGGTGACAGTATAACAGTGTATTTTCTAATGAAGCACTATAGAATCTTTGTGGCATTTTTAGAAATTTGAAACTTTTTTTTGCAAGTGATAAAATAAAGTACAGCTTTCCAGGATGCTTGCACTTGGCAAGAAATAAGAAATTTGTCAAGGGATGAAAAAATGCTGAGGGGATGTCAAAAAATCAAAATAAAACAAAAACAAAAAGGAATAATAAACACCAAAAAAGACAACAACTTATTTAATTTCTTTAATTTATTTAACTTAACTGATTCAGACTTAATTATTGATGACTTAAATTATCAGATTGTTGATATTAATAATGAATTTCTGAAGATAATTTTTCTGCTTCCAAATGTTATTGCAACCTAACTTTTTTTCTCTCTGGTTTCTTGCATATTTGTTATATTTTTTTTGTTTTTAATCAAACAGAGTTATAATATACATAGGCAATATGTGCTGTATTCTATCAGCCTGCACTGCTGAATTTTGGTAGAACCTCAAAAAAAAAAAAAAAAAACATCATTGAAATTATGCCTTTGATTGCATGTACGTTTTTTTCTAAATGAGACATAATTATAGTAGATCTGAACGATGGGCAATACCTAAGTATCCCTCTGTCAGAAATTTTAAATTCTGGCAGAGTTCATTCATATTTTCCCTCATAACATCACATAGCTGTTAAGTATTGTGTTATGACATTCATTTCATTGTCTTCCTTTTTTGTTAAAGACCTTTTCATTATCTCTATGAGAATGATAACAGGGTACTAGTCAGTTTGTGAGAAAGGTTAAGTTACTGTCACAGAGTTTAAGTGGATGATAGATCTCATAATCACTTATAGCACGAAAAATTGTCCATTCTTGTTGATAAATTAGTATGCTTGACTTTATAACTTGTTCAAAGTATAAATGCCTTAAATCAGCCTTGTGTAATCATGCTTTCATTAATTCCTGTTGGAGTTATCTTCCTCGCATCAAAGACTTCACAGGACTGGAGAGGTCTTTTAAGTGTCAATTCGGACAAAGATATCATTTTATTTATATAGTTCAAATAGTGTTGACACCAATTATGTTAGATATGCATGATCACTTCTGTTGATGCATTGCAGAGAATTTTACTGTTATCAACATGGTTAGGTTCAGTGAAGCGGAAAAAAATACAATATTCTTAAATATGTAAATTGATAGCGTATGTATGTTGAGGGGTTATTGGTGCAATGTAGATTTCTTTTATAATTTAAAAAAAAAAGTTTGGAATAATCAAATTGCACATGAATTATAACATTGGAAATGCACAGACTTCTTAATGTTTTTATATGGTGTTGAGGTCTCAATACATTCCTTGAATTTTGTAACTGACTTCTTTAATACGTCATTTGAAAAAAAATGGTTATACTGTATTTCTACAGTGCCATCTGCTGCAGGCTTGTTTGGTTATTTAATATACATATGTATTAGCATATAACCTGTTAAAACACATCAGATAGATATTGTCCAAAAAGTGGTGACATGTTCCTTCAAATTTTATCTCGATGTATGTAATACACTGAATTATTCTCATCATTCTTTTGCACAAATTAAACTTTTTCTTCTTAATTTCAATCGTGAAAAAAGTATGGAAGAACTATTTATTAATTTTTGAATATTATTTGTTAATTTATACAGGTTAAAACACATTTATGATTAGGTGTTACTTGTACCCGTTACCACCATAGTGAATCTACAGACATTAATGTGAAGGGGCGACAACTCTAACAGCCTTCAGTGATATTTTATTGAGTTTATGAATTACGTTGAAATAACTATTTATAGTAAGGTATACTTTAGTCCATGTTTAAAATAATTACATTTAATATGTACAATAAGGAGTAACTGGTATTTACATGTAATTATGTAGATAATTTGGTGATTGTGTTGAATGCATGTATATGAATGGAAACAGGATGATAGTTGTTAAATTATAAATAAACCTCTATGCTGCATTGTGGTGATTTGATATTTGTGTCATATTTGTGTTGGATAGTCTTTTCTGGTGCGGAGGACCAGTGAGATTATATCATACCGAGGGAGTCACTCGTCCCTCTGCGGATCTCTACTAGTCATGAATGACTCGGCGGATTTTGACCAAGTTTGGTCAGAAGCATTCCGTGGGGACAAAGAGCAAATTTTGTATAAATGGTTGGTCTCGGCTCCTTGTGGCAGGAATGTCAGGGTCATATAGGGGAAATACAAAAAATTGTTTAAATTCTACTCCTCCTGTAGGAGTTATTTGATTTTGCCCAAATTTGGTCTGAAGGATTTTTGGGTGAAGGGGAATCAATTTTGTATTAGGTGTCGGTCCCCTGGGACAGGAGAGGCGGTGACCAAAAGGGGAAATAGAGCGAATTCTTGAAAAAAATACACCTGTAGCAATGATTGGAGTTTGCCCAAATTTTGTCCGCATCATTCTTGGGTGTATGGGAATGAGTTCTCTAATCAATGGGTCTCGGCCGCTGAGTGCAGGATTGGCGGGGCTCAGGGCAAATACAGCAAATTCTTTGAAATCCTCCCCTGCTGTAGGAATAATTTAGATTTTGCCCAAATTTGGTCTGAAGCATCCTTGAGTAAATGTTGATCATGAACATCTCCTCCTGTAAAAAACGGTCTTATTTTGTCCCATTTTAGCATGAATCATGAATTGCTTTGCTGACCCCTAAAGAAAGTGAAATTTTTCCAATGGCCAGGTGAACCCTATGAGTGTCTTGCATATTTTTTCTCTGTGAAGAAACGATTAGTTGCAATTTTATTTTGCGTATCATTTCAAGTGAAAGAGGAGTTCATCTTCTTTTATTATTAATTAGTTCCTCAAACATTCGGAAAAATCTATTAGTAACACACCTACTGGAAACCATACAAACGTATGTGTGGTGTGTGTGTTTGTACAGTCAAATCTGTCTTGTTGGCTCGGATGGAAGCTCGTGAGAGGTCATAATGTGGGAGGAAACCGGAGTACCCGGGGAAAACCCACGTGTTCGGGCAGGGGACCCCCACACCTTTTCACTTCCATTGCGGGAATCGAACCCCGGACGGCTAGGTAAAAGGCGAATGCGTTATCACTGCGCCAAGCGGCCACCCCTGTGTCAGTAAATAGATACTCTTGTATAGAGTTTCATCAAATCTCTCTCTCTCTATATATATATACATAAATGAATACAATTCAATAATAAGCTTTGTTATGTTTAACTCTGTTTTAAGAACATGAAATTACAGGTGGAACATAACCGATATCAATATTTAATCAAATGTATCAAATATGAAGCAGAAGACGCATATCCCTCTGTAACACTTGGGCTTGTTCTCCTTGTGTTTTTCAGGCGTCACCGTGTAAATATTTCTTTAGCTCCTATTTTACTTCGGGTTGATCGAAACGAGATTATGTTAGCATGTCCTTTTTCATGTTTTGGTTTTTATATGCATGAGATAAATAAAACTTCGAAGCCTTCGTTCGTCCATTTTCTTCCCAGTTGAACGTAGTAAAGACATGAACCAGAATCACTAGCTTCAGAAGTCTTGCCACTAGAAGTCAGATAAGCTATGGTATCTTCCTACAGTATCTCTAAAACTAAATATACATTAAGATAAATTCGAACAAAGTACACCAGACTGAAAAAGAAATTATCGTATGACTGATTGTGTTGCATTCCTGCTAAGATATACTTGTTATGTATTGCCCAAACGTAATATAAGCTCCGTCTTCGGTAAATATCGATATTCTCGGGTTGATAAATCTTTGCACTGACCTATTTATCAGTAATTGTATCATGATTATCATGTAAAGGTTTTCTCACAACAGTTTTATGATTTTCACATTTGAACGTAATTACAGCTACACATTTTTATCACTGCCTCTCATGCAAAGCCCATTGTCACCAACATGTCCAATTCTTGTCTCCATAAATGCAACCTCTATAATTGGATCCAGCTTGATAGAAGAAAACAAATATGAACTCACAACAAATCTAATTTAATTTCTTTTTTAAATAACACTCCACCCACACACACACAAAACTTCTCTTCGTGTTAAAATGAAAATGTAGTTTCTATAATTGGACTCAGGTTTAATACAATAAACATGTTTGTTCATGCCAAATCTACCACACGTCAGTTTCTTGAGGTTTGTATTAACACGCATACTGTTGCCATTACGACGATGGGGTTCCATAGTAACACGATGTAGTACTACGGAGGTCGGCCGGTGACATCTGTCCAATTAGCCTACACTGTGTAGATGATATAGCAAAGCGAAGACGTATGTTAGAAATAAACATTTTACCCTCAGCCCTTGATTGGATGTGCAATGCCTGTTTTAGGTATAACGTGACCAGGTAGGGGGTCCTGCTTCTGTGTCGAAAAAAAATACCAACATGTCAACACATTCATAATCCAAGCTCAAATTCAATACAACAAGGGCAAAATATGAACAAAACAATGATTGCCACTGCGAAAAAGTACAAGGATAATAAGACCAGGTGTTCCGTAAGAGTAAGCGTCTTTTGCTTCATGGACAACACCCGCCTTGTTGTCTTTGGTCAGTCCAGGTAAGAAGTTTTCAAATACGAACAAGGTATACAACAACGGCGCCAACAGGCAAACTATATAGCACAAGGGGATAGATTATTCCTTAATGAGATCACTATGACAACCGTAATTTTTTTTTTATGATTTTCATCAGCCTGCCTCTTTTGAAACCCCGTGTTAACGGTATTTTTCAAGGTCGCAACAATGAAAGATGTATAGATTGTTCACAACACGCCAGCCTAAACTTTGCTCCTTCGCTCCAGGATTGGCATTTCAGTGCCATAACACTATAAAACAGTTTTTTTTCTCAGGGTTATTTCAAGTCGACTCCAGAGCTTCACCTCTAAAATTTTGACGAGTTCCAATACTGAGAGATAAAGTGGGGTTTCAAAATTTGAATGAGTTCCACAGAAAACGTAGGATCCAGGACTTAAATATCCGATTTTTAAATTTACTACCACAGAATTTGTCAGTGGCCAATGAACACTGTTAAAAATGTACTGTGATAACTGTGGTTATTTCAAGAATATTAGATTTAAACAGACAAATTATGTTACATGATAGGTCAGTAAGCGATTGGTCCTTGTATTTAAATTTACTACCACAGAATTTGTCAGTGGCCAATGAACACTGTTAAAAATGTACTGTGATAACTGTGGTTATTTCAAGAATATTAGATTTAAACAGACAAATTATGTTACATGATAGGTCAGTAAGCGATTGGTCCTTGTATTTCAATGACTTTCAAAGCCTATTGTTATCAGTGAAGGATGTAGACAGTAAGATGGGCACTTTCGTCTTTGCTATCCGATATCCGAGAGATATACGTCTAGTTAAGCGTCATTCATACCGATAAATAGAAAAATACAGTGAAAAAATGGATTTGAAAAGGAACAATTTGTCGTGATCGTTTAGTCTTATTCGAAGGACGTGAACTGTTTAGTTAATAGTTGCTACTTAGAAAAACTATTACAAAATGTAGTCAGTTTGGCTTCATGTGAATTAGGTTGTCAAGCCCTGTGTTTAATGGATCACCGTGTATGGTAATCTAAGTACGTTTGGACTACGCTGGGATTGGCTTCTACAAATTAACACAGGTTTTGTATTTTACGGTGTCAGCACACTAGGCATGGACCAGTCAAGGATATAACTCACCAATAGTGCCTTTTAGTATAAATTACTTCAATGACGAATCTATTTACAAAAAGATCATAAAAATAGCTGTGTCAAGTACAATCCCTCTTGCGTGATAGGATAATTTTATTACGTTACAACATTGGTAGACAGAGTTGTGAGATAAACACTGACATTAATGTTATTTGTTGGATGTTTAACAATGAACCCAGTCATTGACAACGCGAAACAAGTTGCTATCAACACCTATAGAAAATCCTAACATTAACATTCAACCCACAGTTATCATCAAAATACAGAATTGTGTCTTCCGTGACCGGCCGGTTAGGACAGGGTCAAAAATGACATTTTGCAAGTGGTACCTTGTGGAAACAAAGGAATCACACATTGATCTTGGGCGTAACTTGACTGTAAAGAAATTATTAAAACTGAAAATTGAAGAATAATTTTACCATACAGGGTTCACTCTAGAATATATGTAAATAGGTAAATAACATAAATGATAAAATTATATTATAACTATCCTATTTTAATATTACATGAGAAGATGACATCATCACTATGCTATTATGATGATTGTTTTCAATCGAGTTGTCAAAATCACCGATCGTGGTGTTTTCTTATCAGTATTAATTTGCGACATATTGTTTAAATATATATTTGTATCTGATAATAGTATCAAGCATTTTTAATCGGATAACTGTTGAAAGGAATTCGGTTGAACTTGTCCCAGAAAGACATCGCTTTCCAGCGTCATTAGCACGAGCATTCTATATAACACTAAATATACCCGCAATTCTGTGACAAAAATTTTTGTTTTTTGTTTTTTTTTTTTTTCTAATTTATATAACACATTGATAGAAAACAGAAAAGGATTTAAAAATGTTTTATTTTACTTTCATACATGAGAATTAAATTTTCTTATGGTGCAACCATTTTGTTGTTCCATTTTCAGTTCATGACGTAACATCATTGTTCATATGATGACATCATAATCGTGATCTGACGCAGTGAAAAAAGTGAATACATGAAATAGGCGAATTCATTGGATAAGAATTTGTAATTATTAAAGTATATGAAATTTCGTTTTCACGAGGGGTAAAAAAGTTTTAATAAAATTAAAACATCGAAGTCTTGGTTCATAAAATCTCACAGGAATGAAAATTTATTAAGAGTACTTTGTACCATACATGTCAGAAAAGTAATATTTTGACAGGTCTTGAAACGAAAATGTGGAGGACAACATCAGACGCGGCAGCCATTTTGTTTCGCCATTTTGAAATCGACACATGACGCCATTGACAACATTATGACACCATAATGACCTTCGGGCTGGCGGAGCGAACGAAAAACGCTCAAGGTTATATAACAGTAGTTACACATGGACATTACAATATGATTTAATTCACTAGATAACATACTTATTTTGTGATAAATAGGATATACAGATCCTTGGCGACCCTTCTAGCATTTTTTTTTTATTTCAAATGATAATTTGATAATAATTACTAGGGTTTACTCCCTTTTCGCCTTAGCTGTCAATTTCATGGTTAAAAATATTCACATTTCGCCTTAGTGCCAAAACCAGGTAGGAAGAAGTTAGTTAAGGCGAAATGGAACCTTGTATACACAAATTAAGGAAGTCAAGTAATTGATTTAATAATGTTTATTAATGGTATTCTTGCGATGTCATCAATACAAACATAATAAACAGGATAGATATATAATATATATTGATACAGACAAGTATACATTTCATGCAACAAAATCTTATAGTTAAGCACTATCAATCTTATCATATCAATCATTTAAATCAAGCACTAATGTTCAAAAGGTTCTCTGTTTCAATATGATATAATAAATAGTCCTAACATGATTCAAATTAAGCACTATAGATGTCACAACACTGTATAACTAGTCACTGAGTTTCAGAATGTAGGATGCTGTGTCTTATTACTGGATGAAGTCTTTGGTCCCATTCATTAGATCAGCCTTTAGGTTTGCTAGATGTTCTTCTACTTCTCTGTACTTCCTTGCTTTCTGTCGTCTCTGTCCGCCTGCTGCATATTGGATTATCTTCACCTCGGTAGCTGCTTGCAGTCGCTGGAACTTCTCGATGATGTTGTAGATGTTGGGATGTGCTGTCTTTACTCTCTTCTTTAGTTTATTGTGCCATCCTTCTAAGTAGTTATTGGTTTTGGGTCCTTCGGTTAGAAAGTGGTTCCATGTTGGTTGTGGATATCGCCCTTCAATCCGTGTCTCTGTGACGTAATCTGCGAGTTTCAGGCAGTCTTCTCTCTGTGGGGCATCTTCTAGGGCATGTAGTCAGTAATCTTCAACTTGGTGTAGTGGAAGAAGTGGCAAAGCTACTGCACGGCGGACAAGTTTCTGGACTTCGGGAAGGTTCTTGTAGTCAATCTGAAGTCCATATTCTTGCGTCTTTTTCCAGATGGCTTTTGTGAAGTGGAATAGGTATCCATTGAGTTCTGCTGATGGAAATGTCTGAGTGACGGCATTATGGGAAGGACATTCGAAATCAAGGCTAACTGTGCTTGATGAGAAGTTCAGGTTGTGTCGAACCGCAATGTCTTCCAGAAACGTGAATAATCTGTTGTAGGTGTTAGTATCTCTGTTCGGTAGTAATGAATACACAAGCGGAAACATAACAGTACCAACAAAAGCATGGATGGTGAAGATACTGTCAAAAATCTGTGGGGCTGTATAAAAGGTTCAATCGCAGTAGACGATCTCGGCAGAGCATAGATGTACTAGGTTCTCGTCAGTAGTGAATATCAGTACTTTGTCTACATGTAGCATAACTCCTGCCATGTTGATTGTGAAACTGATACTTTAGCATACTGTCAAAGGTCTTTTATATATAACATGTAAGCTGTGATGAGGAGTTATTCCAAACTTTTCAGTCTGTAAAAATCTGCTATGAATATTTTTGAATACATATATCCCCAAGAAAAAACTATAACTAAAAATGTAAGTTGCTCATAAATATACATTTCATAGAAAAACTAGGTTTTTAAAATAAGATTTGTTCCTTTTTTTAATTATAAAAGAAATAAGAAATGAATTATATATCTATTTAAATACATTTAATTGATTTAGTGTTAAAATGTTCAAGTTTTAATACAAAATGTAGTTATTTCTTATTTCTTTCAATGTGAAAAATGTACATGTTCCAATACAACATGTAGTTATTTTTATTTCTTCAAATATATTTTATATATTATATATATCTTAAATCTAAGTGGCCTTTGGTCAATTATAAGTAAGATTAAAATTTAGAATGAATTATTGTAAAAACAACAACCGCTGCATGCAATTGGTTTCTTTGTCTTTCCACACTTTTCCTAAATTCCCACTTTGCCTTAGCCCCATTTCCATTTCGCCTTAGCACATTTCCACCTGTTTTATACCAACATATATAACTAAGGCGAAATGGGAACACACCATTACAAGTATGACAAGATGAGTCTATATCGATGTTGATGGAGACAAATACAGAAACACAAGTGACAAGAATAGACAAATAATGTATTATAATGGACTTTTGATTAGCGGCCGTTATTTACCTTGGGGAGATATTCAGCGACACCTGTAATGTTACCGAGTCGAGAGACGTTTCAACATTTTACTGGAAAATTGATATCTGTGATTATCTGCAGAGGTTTTACCATGGGAGATGTTATTAACAAATATATTTGGCACGTTGGTTACGACAATAACACAAAAGACATCAAATTTCTAAAACAGGAAAAGAAATCAGCATATAATTACTCTTAATGATAACATGCATTTATTTGTAATATTTTTGAACATTACTTTATGGTTTGAATACTTAAAGCAGATACAGAGAAAACAATTATTACACAAATTACGTGTTAATGTCTCTTAATTTTTTTCCGGTTTTATGTGCTCCAGAGTCCAAATGCGCAGGAAAAACAAGTATACCCTTTGTAACAAAATGTGTCCTTCTCTTAGCCGACTGATTTTTTATACGAATTTATTTAAACAGTATTTTGTTTCAATTATTATTTGTATACTACAATGCAATACACTTCAGCACAATTTAGCTAATAAGATACAACCCGAAAGATTATCTGCTCTATCAAAATTACATCGAATTTCATGGAAATGTTTAAATATACGTCATTGATGAGAGTGGCAAACGCATCATTAGATTTAATACAACAGTATACATAGGGCGGGCTTTAAAGAAACGTTTATCAAAACATTACAAATTCTTTTGCTCCCATTTAATTTCATTTTACGATAATTATATTGCTGGTGGCCTTTCTTCATCAGCCGGTTACCTGGGTGATTTTCTACAGTGAAATTAATTTGGACAGCTAACAACCAGCCTGTATGAAAAGCGTGAGGACATCGATTTCTCGATTTAGAGTTTTCCATTTCTAGAGAGTAACTTCCCTCCTTACCAAGTCTATACTAATATAATGTAGCATTCAATTCAATGTTTTGGGCTATGGGGATGTTTAATGGTCGCCACAATGATATCATTATATCTCCATGTGCGATATGAAATCAACTGTGGTTGATGCTCTTTCTTATATCATATGGTGTCACTACTTACCTTGTTCTAATCAATATATCATTACTTACTTTGACTGGCACGTCGAGGAAGCAGCAGACGCTTATCCTATCGGGAAATAGAACTTAATCTGGCTGTACTTTTACAACATCACGATATAAATCGTTAATAAATGACATATATTTTACTCTAGTCTCGATTTTAAGCTTTTTAAAGACTTTGTTATTATGTTGGTGTTTGTCTATAGTTTTAGATGTTGTAATGTCTCCCATACGCTTAAGATCCATTTATTTCTGTATGCAGGTAAAGCTGGGGTTTCCAAATGACCTAAGAAGCAACCATAACAGCTTGTGTGTGCTGTTGCTAGCCACTGTAGGCGTACGTTTACAAATAGGCAATTAACTCTAGACATGTACACACTCAAGGATATAGAGTCCTTCTTGAAATGAAAATAAGTATAGTTTCTGGGGAAAATGCTATAATATCAATTCTTCATTTCATTAAGAAAACTAAACATGAACATGCTAACATAAAAATGAGTGTTAGATATCCTATATGGACGTGACCAATACATTTCTTGTTATTTAAAGACGAGACGCCATTAATATTCCTGAAATGGAAACTAAACGACTTTGCAAAATCTTTGTGACCAGTATTTGAAAGCTCTTCACCCACGTAACCAGCCAGCTAACACAGGGACACAATTTCTGCCAGTAATATGCAAATGCTGTTCTGTTGGAACATCTTACCACCAAACTTGACGAAGTTGTTATCAACTGGAAAAAAAAAGATTTGAAATTAAAAAAAAAAAAAAAAAAAAAAAAAAAAAAACATAACAGATTAAAGTTTAACAGGTGTCCAATCATAAGTCTAATAAAGAAGGATATAATGAAATTGGAAATACAAAAAATACTATGTAAAATGCTAAAGGTGCTGTTCATGATATGATATCTTTACTCTTGCTAAGCACTCGTGAAATAAAGATTTACCCACCATCGTGAACCATATGTGCAACTAACAAAACCACTTTTAAATATCCGATATAAAGCAGATTTAATGTGAGAAAAACTACAAGCGGTTCTGGCCTTTAAATCCAAGCTTCATGTCTATCCTGTAATATCTTTCTGCCTTAGTAGAAATTCAAAATAAATAAAACAGTCGTAGACATTTCCATCTTATCTTCAATACCTGACGCATGCGCGGTTGGTGTTTTGTCATACCGGATGTGAATATGTAAAAACGCACCAGAGATCTATATAGATTATCCTGTACATACTATTAACATTGTGCACAGAGCATACAATATATTAGAACATTAGTGATATATCAGCACAACCCTTTGCAAATATTTCGATTTTTTCTGACACAAAAGCTCGTTAATGAAATGTTTGGCACATGCTCTCAATTTCGGTTTTGTAAATAATCTGAAAGGTACTAATGGTGTGGTTGCCAAGGTCTACTGAGTTGTCATTTAAATCTATACAGTGTTACAGTGATATTATATGGAAGTCGATTCATTGATTTAATTACTTCCGCTTCCGGAATCTAATCCAGCAACCGGAAACGGACCAGATTGGTATAGCGATCTGCATTAGGGCACCATTAAACTGATAACATATATGTATCAGTATACTTTCCATCCTATATAATGTATTATCCTCTGTGAAGCCGACGCACCTAGAGGTCATAACACCTATTACCGGTGTGACCGTTGTCAAATATATTTACAATCTCTGTTAGATTTTTTTTATAGATATAGCTCGCCTCAGTAATGAATAACACGATTACGTAATGGAAGGCAGTCATAAAACAAGAAATATTTTCATTTGCGTTCCTGGGTTGGTTTTCTGTCATTTGTTTTACTCTGCCTGTTTGAATTAATTCCATGCATCAAATTGCGAAATAAAACCAGATATCGACATGATCATTCAGTAACCGGCAAGTACAAAAAATTATCAATGACAAATTTATGGAAGCAGAAAATGTTCCAAGGTTCTCACAGACTTAACGTACGAGGTAAATGGACAGGTGTCCAGTATGTCAAAAGATCATCCAATTTACCAGGTTTACGTTCGTATGAATGAATGACAATATTAAGAAAATTCACATCTACATGACTTTCTTTATGTGGCAGTGAACATCGACAGAATCTATCAAATAATGGGATAGATGTACATCTAATATATATCACTAAATTTTCTTTAGTCGATTTTGTTTCTTCGACTCGGCTCATGTTACTGTTTACTGGGATGTACTTCATCTATTACTAATTGTATTAAACAGATTCATTATATTGTAAGTTTTTAGCCTATTTATAAACGACTCACTACTCAATAGAAATGAAACATGCCATATCGGGTTACTGATAAGTTTGCAAAAGGACGAACATGTGGATACTTCACTTTGAATTCAGATTAAAATTACACAAGATATACTCAAATAATGAAGTGAACTGCATAATATAGCTGTTTTGTCCTTCTGGGTTTTGTCATTGATGATAAAAGTCTGAATTCATGATGCCTAGAAGCGATTGAAGAAATAAAAACTGGTCAAATTCAATGTACACAATTAGATGCGAAGATGAACCTGCCACTTAGTTCAATAAATATCAATTTTGGACGCTTTTCAAACATATATGTATATTCTGAAGACATTGCAGTCATATTGCGACAAATCTCTGAGACAAACATCCCCAGCAGTTCCTACCAACTATAAATGACAAGAAATTGAAAACTTTATTACGGTATGAATTTAGAATTAGATACGACCTATCTTGATAATGAAATCAAAGTAAAAGCATGGCAACACTGACACAGTCTACACCCCGTTGTCTCTAGACAACAACGAGAGTTTACACTCCACTTTCTCTAGACAACACTGACAGTCTACACCCCACTATCTCTAGACAACACTGACATAGTCTACACCCCACTATCTCTAGACAACACCGAGAGTTTACACTCCACTTTCTCTAGACAACACTGACAGTCTACACCCCACTATCTCTAGACAACACTGACAGTCAACACCCCACTATCTCTAGACAACACTGACAGTCTACATCCTACTATCTGTAGACAACATTGACACAGTCTACACCCCA